TATTTCTGTCGGTCATTTAAAACGTCTATTGAAAAACAGACGTAAATTTGAGCTACTTGCATCTTATCTCGCACTGTCGTTAACTGAAGTGAAGCGTCGCGTTGGGATTCGCGCTCAGCTCGCGCTTCTATGAACAAAAATCCTGCATTCTTTGATTGGTCTCACGAGCATTTTGATATTGACGAGCAGGTGAGTGCTGAAGCAGATCAGATGAGAAGGTCAGTTATCGTCGCGATGGGAGAATCATTACAGCAACAAATTAGAGTTAATATTACGGGTACAACTCTAACGGGGTGTTTTTTTTATTCACGAAATTGGATTAGCAACTAAATGATGCGCATCAGAGGGGATTTAGAAGTGGGTATACGCAATGCCGACTGAAAAGGAAGTGGGTATACGCCGTATACCTGCGTATACCCTGCACTACACCACTGGTTACTTCCAGCTAAATGAAAATTGTGTGACGTCATTTTGAACAAAATCAGGGCAAAATTAAGTTCATTTTGTGTTCCTTTCAAGAGCTCGAAAAGGCTTGCCAAAGTGAACTTTCCAGAAAATGTCAAAGGGTAAGCCCCTTTGTTCTACCATTGGTCTGTGGCGATTCCATAATCGGTATGTGAGCAGAGGCTCCGCCTTCTTTCTCTTGAGGACATTTTTTCCGGTTCACTTCTTCTGTTCAGTCTGTCGAGGTCAGACGTCCATGAGTAAAAATACGAACACACTGGAAAGTCACTTTAAAGTAGACATTGAAGTGCTACTTCTGATGAAACGAGACACTGTTTTTCATGTTTAATAGTGTAGCGCTGTGTGCTTTTAAGCAATATTTTGTATACAATGCTATATAAATAAATGTGCCGTGACTTTACTAGTGTGCCAAATTGCAGAGCTCAGGGAAACATATCCAAATCGCTTTGATCAGATGATTTTCTTATGCTTTCTTTAAAAAAATGCTAACTGATTTCTCATTTATATTTACATATTTATCTAACAGTCGCTCTCAGCAGAGTGGGCCGTGTTGGATGTTTGCTAACAGTATATCACGTATTTCAATCTTCTTTTTACCCCCAAGCAAAGAACGAAAAAGAACTTCAAGGTGAGTATATCAAGGCCTTTAGGTTCTGGTATAATAAAAAAAACAGTTTGTCACCTGGGGGTCAAAGTCAACATCATCACTCCAATGTAACGCCGTTTTGATCCCGAATCTCCAAACCAGGACTCTGGAAACAACACATATATATCAATAACTGTCAATGAGCTCAAAAGAAATGATAACAAGAACCACTGAGGTCAAGGGTCACTCATACTCTGCTTGTCTGCAGCACGCTCAAGGAAGAGGCGGACTCTGTCTGAGGGAATAGCAAAGGAAATCCCTGCAGTCACTTTCATGGTATTAATTCCGATGACCTCACCATCCTGAAGGTTACAAACAAAAAACGGCATTTTATTCCATGAGGCTAACATGTGTGACCAGTCATCAGGTTCTCAGATTGATCAGATATTTGTTCTTCAAATAAACAGAAAATAAAATTTGATAAGCGAAATGAAAAGCCTCAACTTCCTCGTTCTTAAATCCAAAAAGCACAAGCAGTATGTTATGTAAATGTCAGTGACTCACCAGGTTTATAAGGGGACCTCCTGAATTTCCAAACTGTAAAATAAACATTAACTAGTGAACGATGCGATATTATTCACTTAATGAAATAATTGTAATGAAACATATAGCGTTCATATGCAATTACACCCAAATCCTCCAATGCCATTTCCTGTGCGCTTACATCTATGGTAGCATCAGTCTGGATGTAGTCTATGTTGGAGTTGGACAGGCCGAGTTCTTTACCACCTCTCTGGGCAGAGCTGACGATTCCAGATGTGATTGTGTTTTTAAGAGAAAACGGGCTCCCCATGGCAACCACGAACTCTCCCTGACGCACATCAGTCGACTGACCAAGACGCAGCGTGGGGAGGGGATGCTGGAATGAGAGACAGAGAGTATTGATGTGTCCAAAAATCGCATACTGAGTAGGTACAAACACACACACACTACCATTGAAAAGGTTTTGAAAGAAGTTTATTATGCTCACCATGGCTGCATTATTATTACAATTCAAAATAACTGTTTTCTATTTTCATATGTTTCAAAATGTAATGTATTCCTTTGATGAGCTGAATGGTACCTTAGCGTTGATTTTGATGGTGGCGATGTCTGCAGCCTGGTCTACATCCTGGACTGTGGCATTGTAAGTATCTCCATTGGTCAGTTTGACACGGACGCCACGCTTGTTGGCAACCACATGGGCATTGGTCACTATCAGGCCATCACTACTTATGATGAAGCCGGAGCCATTCGAGATAGGCACCTCACGGCCAGAAAAAGGGTGTCTATAAAGAACAAAGAATACAAAAAAAAAATCAATCTACACGTTAAAGATTCAAAAGTTCTTGAAAGAGCCTAAACCGGTTTGCTCGACCAAGTCAAGTCAGGCTGTCTGGTCTGTTAGGTTAAAGAGTTAGTTCATCCACAAATGAGAATTCTGTCATTAACTAACCACCCTCATGTTGTTCCAAAGTCGTGAGACTTTAGTTAATATTCTGAACATCAATGAAGATCGTTTTGATGAAATCTGAGTTTCCCAAGCATTAGTCCCTACATAGACCGTTTTGCCGTTCCAAAAAAGATGGTAAAACTAATACATATATAAATTGAGCGGCCTAGTCCAAATTTTCTGAAGAGACATGATAGCTCTATATGATGAACAGATTGATTTTAAGATTTTAGTCACATATAAACGTTTGTCAACTCACACATCAGTTGTGGTAAATGGAAGCTCAAGCCTGTTCACTTGATGTGTGAGAACCAATTCATTTTTGTGTGTCACAGAGCAGTTTGAACTTCAGCAAGAACCAATGAGGTTTGTTCTCATGTATCAAGCAGGTTCAGTTGAGCTTCTGTTTTGCTGATCAATGTTTAGCTATATGTAAACAAAAGAAATTTTTCTTCAGAAAATGTTGGACCACTCAATTCATATGGATCAGTTGTATGATATGTATATTTACCTTTTTGAAGCATCAACAGGGTAGTTGTAGCTGTCAATGGAGGGACAGAAAGCTCCCAGATTTCATCAAAAAAAAAAAGATCTTCATTTGTGTTCCAAATACGAAGGAAATATTGGAAGGACATGAGGTTAAGTAACGTTAATGACAGAATATTCATTTTTGGGTAAACTTTTCCCTTTAAGAAGTGTAATTTTTCAGCAATTGGCCACGGTAGGAGACCATATTTAACAGACTGCGATACACATTTTAAACCAACTAAGACCATTTTAGGCTAGTTCAAGATGTTTTCAATGGAGCTAGTATTTTTGACAGACTCACCGTCCAACGATCTCGATGTAGACAACAGCAGGAGTGGACTTCTCAACCACATCCGCGATGAAATTGTACTTGTACCGCGGACTGTCAGGTTTAAATGGAGAGGCACATTGGACAGTAGGTAATATGCTGTCAATCAGCAAGTTTCTGACCGAAACTGTGCTCTGAAGGGCATCTTTATTGTTCTCGTTTCTTAATGAATACAAGGCTGCTGCTCCTCCGAGTCCCAGTCCAAAAGCGACTGCCAGGCGAGCGGTGTGACTGTCGCCTCCTGAACTCCGCTGTGAAACTACAGGTCGTACTTCTACATGTTCCTGCTTACCTGAAGAGGAGTTAGAAAAGTGTCCTAAAGGTCTTACTGTCATCACATTTGGTTGGCGACGGCTGTCCCGGAGACATCTCGTGAGCGTCCTAATGAGACATCGATGTACATGTGTACTTGCCATGTTGCATCAGATGTATTGTAGTAGAAAACAGTCAATCCAGATGGAAGCAGGGACTTGACCGCTGGGTCTAACACGTTATATTAGCTAAAGTTTCTTTGAAAATCTTTGAATAGTTCATCTTTATTATATATATAGGTATATGTAGTTAAAATGGTCTTCTTATACGCTTGAATAGATGTGACTTTCCAATCCTCGGCTCGGCTCTGACTGACTGACTGTAGAGTCTGTGACAGTACCGGAAGTGGTAGTTGGTCAACGCATCTGCGCATGTATGGACATGTCTGATGAGAGGATGAGAGTGGGAAATTATGGAAATTCCTGCTAGAAATTAGAAACGTATCTCATTGGAAATATTTTCTACATTTGAATAGATAAAAGTGTAATAATTATAATGTCATTACCATCTAAAATATTATTCACGTAACTTGTATTTAATAAGTAATTTAATAACAATGTAGTATTCATATTAAGTATAACCTATTATTGAGCGGAATTATTCAATCAGCATTTATTTTGAAAATATTTCTATAAATTGTATTGACTTTTCACGTGAACGAACTAAGAGGTGGTCTGGAACAGGGTATGTGTGAAGCGGACGGAGAGAGAGTTCTCCTCCCCTTTCCTGAAATCGGTCCGCTCAAGCTCCATTCCGCATTTTCCATTTCATCTTTGCCTTCAGCAAACTCAAGTAGTTCTGCTTTTACTACAAAACCCGCTTTTCGTTATGGCCAGAATCACACAAACTTCGCTCGACTTAATAACTGGTGGACAGTAGTGATGGGAAAAATGAAACTTTTCAAAAACTTCGAATCTTATAAAATGAAGCTCTGTTTCGAAGCGCTCAAAACACTACTAGCGCTTCAAGCTGATGACCCCTGCAGGTCAGACCAGTGTGTAAATGCTGCAAAAACCCAGCAGCCTGCAGACATAGAATATTGGCATAAAACACCTTTTACAAATCAATTGCAAATGTTTTATTAAAGGTTTAATCAATTGAATGCAATTAACAGATAATCTAATAACATTAACGATCTGTCTTTATAACATGTGACACTGTATCCAATTGTAGGGCTTGTTCAATGTATATTGAGTTTTGATCAGGTGAAAATTATATATATATATATATATATATATATATATATATATATATATATATATATATATATATATATATAAAGGAATTGGTTTTTTTTTTTGGTGAACCACTAAAATTTCGAATAATTTCGAAACAATTATGACGTGGCGCAAGGAAGGCTTGTTTACTTAAATCATGTGAAATTTTCAGTTTGATACTCATAGCACGCAACCCGCTATAACCACGCCATTGGGAACGTAACTTCTAAATGGAACTTATCCAGCCTATTACCAACATGTTTCTGATTCCAAAATGATCAATGTATATGATAATGTAATTTTCCTCCATAAATATCTATTGCTCTCACTTCTGCTTAGTCTCTTCTGCCTCTCTTTTGTCCTTCTTTCTCTATACTCCCATCTTCACAATCTTCTTGTTATATACACAACACAATACTTACAATACTAGGATTGTATTATAAACTAGATTTAAAATGGTAGCTAGATAGACAGACAGAGACAAAATAATCCTCTGAAGTAAGTTAATTTCCTTCTATATTTGATCTATGATGAATTCACTAAACCCTTACAGGAATTTTTTGGTATTTTTAGAATTGAGACATTTTGAAAATGAGTTTCTCACATAACATGCATGCACACACAAAGATATCACTCACTACATCCACTGACTCGCTCATATCACTTAGAGGGTCAGAGGACAAAGAACTCATGTGAATCAATTTTAAGACAAAAGAAAATTGTCCAAACGAACAGTTTAAACCACATCACTGACAGTGTATATTTTATGTACATAGGTATTTTTGTTCTTTAAATTGTGTATTAATCACTGTATCACAGTCCGTTTGACAACACGTCCTTCTTTATCAATGGCAAAATTGTAGTTTTTCGGGTTGTCAAGAGCCTCTTCAATCCGTTCATCTAGATTGTCCATTGTGATGAAGTTCTTTGCCTCTTCCTGAAACATGAATGCAAAGGGTTGAATCATAAAACCATTCTCCTACCCACCTTTAAAAAAACAACTAATTTAATAAAATGTACTTATTAACTGCACAATAGTAATAATAAACATTCTTTTCAAGAAATATCTCCAATAAATTAAAGCAAGCCAATACAACTCATTCTTAGTTTAAACTTTGACAAAATGTACATACAATATACTGTCTTTGTCAGAGGTCTGATATTTTTTGTTGCATTCTATCATTGCACAGTACTGAAAGATTCACCTGTAGTTGAAGAATTTGTCGTTCTTTCTCTTTAATGTAGTCCTCCAGCTCTTGCTGGCGTAAGAGGATTGCTTCTTTCCTTTTCAGTTCCGCAGCCTCAGTCTCCTTCTGCACACGCTGCTCTCTGCAAGACCAGATGATACACATCCATTTTAATCAGCAACAAAATGCGGTGTATCCGACTGCGTCTCACAGTACTACAAACGAATCAGAGGGCATTTAATGCTAAAGGCCCGTTCACACCAAGAACGAGACCTATTTTGATAGCGATAAGGATATAGTTCTAAAAAACAAAAAGCTAAGAATAGTCCACACCACAACTATAAAAATAATGGCACAGAGACAAAACGATATAGAACGACTTTCAGAACGTGTTTTATTTTTATTTTTACATAAAAACACTGACACCCAATTAGAATCCATTCTGCTTCAAAGAGCTCACATATTTAAAGCGGCAGATGATAAAACTGCAGCACACAAAACTGCAATATATTATTATTGGTGCTTTTTCTAATGCTGTAAGCCCTTCTTTCATTTGTGGAGCAAAAAGCAGAATTTTAATAAATTCACACTCGCTCTCATCCTTATAAATGGCAGTGAATAGCGAACAGCATTAAGCTTTTTGAAAAAGATGAAAAAGTATCAAAGAATGACCTTGTATTATATATTCCAAGTATACGATAGCGTTTATTGAAAAACAAACAAAAATGTAATGCATTATTTAACGAAATTCTTGACATTGGCCGTTGGTCTTCTCTACACGGCTGCATGATGTGCGAGACTCTATTAGTGCCGCAATTCAATTCACTTTGCCTCACCCAGAAAAAGCACACAAGTTGTGAGAAATCAAGATAAACAAGGTACATGGGTTGTATTTTGAATTGTTTTTGTTCATCTTGATTTTCACAACTATTGTGCTTTTTCTGGGCGAGTCGAAGTGAACTGCGATGCTAATAAGAGAAGACCAAAGGCCAAGGTCAAGAATTGTATAATAAATAATACATTAAATTTAATTTAGTTTTTCACCAAACCCTATCATATACCCTCAGAACACTTGGAATATACAACACTTGTGGCATGGATTCATTCTGTGATACTTTCGCATCTTTAAAAAAAAAGCTTGATTCAGGTTGTATTGACTGACATTATAAGGATGAATATGAGTGGGAATTTTTTTTTTTAATTCTTCTTTTGAGGTCCATAAAAGAAGAAAAAGGTGCATGCGGCATTAGAACAAAAACAGGGCGAGTAAATTATAACTACACCTATAAGCAAGCATATCCCAGGCCAGAATTCATCACCTCACGACATAATTGATATCTCACTGTATCACATCTAAATGACTCACCGTATTTGACGTAATCTGAGGTTTTCAGCATCATTCCAGGCCATTAATGACCGATGCTCTTCAGCCTCCCTTTTAGTTCTCTCCTCTGCTGCAGAACCAACCTCATCTTCATATTTCTTCCTCAACACTTGCTCCTTGAACTCAAGTCTACATGCATAAAATGTTCAAGTATGTCAATTCGTCAATCTCAAACGGCAAAAGTAATAATGAAGAGAAAATTAGAGGGGTAGAGTGACCTTGGTAATCACATATCTACATTTACTAGTCATCATAACCATGCCTGGAAATCATAATAAGTTTTATGATTTAACGTTAATGTCATGCAGTCTTACCGCAGGGCTCTTCGGATCAAATTGTACTCAGTGAAACGCTCCTTTAATACAACCATTTCAACTGGATCCACGGGAGGGGGAGTCTTGATTCGGCCCAATTTTGATTTAGCTTTGGGGTCTGTGCGAGATTTTCTTCCCCTAACAGTTTCGACCAAAACTGTATTGCGAGGAGCGAGAAGACGGACTACAGGATCATGACACCGCGATAAAGCCCGCAACATGTTGAAGATTATATATAGTTGTGATTAATGGTAAGCGTCTATACAATTAAAAGCTAAAATAATTAATGAATTAATATACTACAAGCACCAAATTCCAGCATGTCTATATAACATTGAGCATTTTCACATAGGCCGCCATGTTCTTGAACTTTAACCACGGAAGATGTTGCTTCACTCGATGTAGTCACGGCTGAGCTGAACACAAAGCGCTCTCTACTGCCTCGCGCTGGAAATAAACAGAACTGTCTGCGAACGATCGCAAGGTAAAATTAACGATTCTGTATTGATTCTATTTCATCTTAATAATGGTTTATGTTACCTTAACGGTTTATTAAATGTTCTAGCCTACTTCGGAGGAAGAAAAAATGCGTCTATAAGCGGTTGGAGTTGAGACAATCTTAATCTAGTTAACGTTAGTTACTACGTTGAGACAATCAGGTGGTCTTTACTGTCGGATAAAAATACTAACTTAAAGTGGATTTTGTAACATATTTCCATCATTCGTTTTTGATTAAACACCATTGACAAAAACGCATAATCTTCACACAATGTGAACAGCTGCTAATGCTGAGAGACTGATTTAAATGGAAGGCCATTTCCACCACAAATTAGTCAATTGAGATTAAATTATGAAAATGATTATTATTTATTTTTTATTAAATTACTATTTTAAAAATATGACGTTAAAAGTCGAAATTCTGATAGAAAATGTCGACAAGTACAAATCAAAATTTTTGATTTTTAACTAATAATTATGGCTGATTTTAGCTTTTCATTATGACTTGTCATACTTTAGACTTTTTGTCATAATTATGACCTCTTAATATGACATCATTTGGACTCATAAATATTTCACAATTTTTTTTATTATTATGTGATGGAATGTGTTCATGATTTTATATATATATATATATATATATATATATATATTAGTGGACATGACAAAACTTAGGGTCAGTGAGTCAGACTGAATCAGTGACCACTCTGATTTATATTGGTTTTGTTCACTAAAAATTATTGTATCAAAAGAGCCAGTTCGAGGCCTTCAGCATTAATTGAAAACATGATTATCCATTATTTCCGGCATCCATTATATCATTTTAATGAGCAAGTTTCTGTCTTGCACACAGGCCCACACTCAAACACACAGCAGAAGAGGTACTGTTGCTTTATTCAGCGTGTATTTAGGTACAAACATACAGCACCATTCAGTTCAGAGACTGTCATGATAAACAGACTCGGTTCCTTGTTCATTTTCAAATTACTGATAATTGACTAACATTATAACTTAGATGACACAACAAAAGCAGATGAGAGCAGTTGCATTTGAACCACGAGTCTAAAAGCTCCAGTTCTAGAGCTTTTATTATTTCTACTCTTGATTTTTCAGTCATGCTTTTATCATGTCAAACACTTTAAATGCAAAAGCAAAATAATCAAATATCCTCAACAAAACAAAAATATGAGAAGCAGAACAGAGACAGATAGCAAACTAAATGTTATGCTACTACAACATTTTCTAAAAATAATACATTCTAACCTAACTAACATAGCTAAAACATAACTGTTGTACTAACGACATATAATCTAAAGAGCCAGGGATGGTGGACAGTATCCTGATGGCTGATTCTTGGTCTAATTTCAAATGAACAAATTGGCTTTAGTCGATTCCTAGCATCCAAAGCAAGCTGAGATCAAACAGTGATTCACCTCAACAAACAATTGGTTAAAAGTTTGCATATGGGGATCATTGGTGAATCAGTGGGTGCTGGGAATCAAACGAAGAAGTTACAATTTAGCGAAAAACTCAATGGATTTATTTCCAGAACCATATAGTGTTCTTGAAGTGGAACCCACTATGGTTCTCCATGAGAATCGGCCAACATGACACTGAGCTCTGGCTGAGTGAGTGCTGCCCCTAGCGATGTCTGCAAGGTGGTCATTTTTCCATTTCTAGTGTAAAGAAGAAGGGGGACCTCCTTATGTGTACCTCTTGTGTGACACAAGGGCTCGTCTGACTTGAAAGCAATGATATGCTGAGGCTTAGTTTCATGGTTGGATGGTGTAATTTGGGTTAAGTAACTAATAAAGAACTAGGAGGTTAAAACAATGGTTATGGATTTGATTTTGACAAAGAGGGTCATAAATGGGGGGTCCAGTTTAGTCGTTTTTGGAGAGAAAAAGTAGGTTTATTCACCTATCAATGTTTGAAACTAGGTGATATTGGTTTTTAGGATCTTAAAGTGGGTCTCTCTTTCAGTGGTATTCAAAATATGAATATGATGAATGTGAGTTATTAGGATTTTGTGTTTTAGGGAGTTAGGCAAGGACTGGGAGGGTGGAATATGTAAATCGAATTTCTTCTCCCTCCAGGAGTTTCCTGTCAAGAAAAAAAAAATGAAGGTCAGTTCAAAACAAACATGTTTGTGATATACCATCCAAGTTACTTAATTCAAGTTAGTACTCCCATATTTGTGATCCTACTTTTTAATTAACTGTAACTCTGATTAAAGAAATTAAAGGTGTACTTCTGTCAAGAATATTACCTGTAAGCTGCGATTTCAACATCCAAAGCCATCTTCACGTTAAGCAGATCTTGATACTCCCGCAAATAGCGTGACATTTCCTCTTTCGCATCAGCAATGTCGCTCTCTAGGTCACTTATCTTCCCCTAGAAGTTATTCAGAGAAAATTTCAAAGCATCAACTCATGCCTAAATGATTAACTGAAAGAAACATTCCTTCATATTGATACATAGTAGCATCATAGATGACAGATTTAGCTCATTAATACCTTTTTCCTCTAGAGAGTCAGTCTCATTTGTTCTACTCAGTGTGTCAGTCATGACTCAGCACTGATGGAATGAGTCAGCATCAGTAACATTTTTGCAACTATTGTTTGGACATTACAATGACAAAAGCACAGCAGAAATAGTATTCAATCAATGTTGAATCTGTAGAACAGCAAAGGTCAGCACACTGACTTATGTAAAGACTTAGAGACTCAGGAATACGTTTCCTTGTGGGGAAGCACTCTAGACAATGAAAATGTGCAAAAAATGTACTTTTATGGGTACAAAAGTTTATCACTGGGGCAGTACCCTTAAAGAGACAACTTTAAACATTATCACAGTAGTACCTTAAGGGTACATATTAATATGCATATTTTATAGGTAGATTCGATACAAAGTTGTCCCTTCGAGTGTACGGCTTCAGTGACCAGCTGTTGTACCCCTAAAGGTCAATTTTTTGCATATTTTGTCTGAGGATTGTGCCCCAAACACAAATAAAGATCTTCTCTTTTATCAATAACGTTTCTGCAGTCGATATCAGAATGACCTCACTTTTTTTTCCAGTGTCTCTACAGAGGCATTTATCTGGTTTTATTGCACGTGTTGCAATTACGATTAACTACTTCCAGTGACCTATACCTGGTATTTGGTGACCTCAGAGTTCTGCGTCTCCTCTTGTTCCGCTAGTTGTGCATGCAGTGAATCGATGACGTTCCTCAGTGCTTCGACCTCAGCGGAACGGGACTGCAGTAGCCGCCGGTACTCAGTGGTCTCCTCGCGTACCAAGCGCACAGCCTCCTCCTGCTTATCCGTCAGCTCCACTGCGCTCGCCACCTTCCCCTGGAACCAAGCCTTGGCGGTTTGCATGTTGCGTCCAGCCAAGGTCTCATACTGCGCTCGGATCTCTCTGAGAGCGGCCGACAGGTCCGGTCTGCTTGTGTCCAGCTCCACGCTGAGGCTGGCGACCTGTAGCTGGACCCTCAACCCCTCCTGCTCCTCAGCGAACACTTGCTTCAGGAAGTCCACCTCCTGTGCCAGGGAGACAACGCTGGCCTCCGCATCGCAGCTGCACAGAGCGGCTTGGCCTGCCTCCTCTCGAAACCTCTGGAGGTCCGCCTCGGCCCGGCTACGCAGCCGTGCCTGTTCCTCCCAGCGCTCGTGCAGCTGTGCGTGCGCCTCCCGCAAGGCCTCCCTCTGTGCCTCCATGCGCGCTTTAGCCTGGGCCTCCTGGTGCAGCTGCTCCCTGAGGCCTCGTACTTCCTGCAGGTAGAGCTGCTGCAAGCGGGACGGCTGACTCTGCCTGCGCCGCAGGGCCTCCAGCTGCAGGAGCAGCGCCCGGTTTTGCTGTTCGAGGTGTCGAACCTTGTCAATGTAGGACGCAAAGCGGTTGTTTAAACCCACCAGCTGCTCTCGCTCTTGGACCCGCAGGTCTAACAGCTCGGTGTTCCCTACGGTCACCTGACTCAGGTCGCTCTGCTCCCAGCGCTGCAGAGGCTCCAAGCGCATCGGCCACCTGGAGGAAGACAAGGGCCCCCGGGAGAGCCGATAGGTGGTGGTACTGGAGTAGGAATGTTCCCTTCTCCGGGAGAGGGAGGAGGAGATGAATGGGTCAAAGCTCATGATGCAGGATTTTTTTGTTTGGTTTGGTTTTCAAATGATGTTAATGTTTTGTTGGTTGAAGAAGTTTTTCTTTTTAAGTCCCCCTTGTTCTGCACACCATTAGTGGAGATGAACCGGCACTGCACCAGTTCAGAAATGCTGCAGAGCAGTCTGCTTTATACAGGACCAGGGCCGTATTAAGAGCTCACTGGGCCCCGGGGCTATGAGTTACTGCAGGGCCCCCCCACCACTTTAGGTCACCAACTACATGAGCTAAATGTTATATTATTATAGCCTACGAGTCATTTTATCCATCTATGATATACTTCACAGTTAAGTTATGTTACTTTTAACATGATTTTTTTTATCATATCAAAATGTATTGACTAAAATTTCATAATTATTGTGACCAATTTCAATATCACCAAAAAATAATAGTAGCTTAAGAAAATAATCTCAAGCTTACTGATGACAAGAGTCACAAATTAAAATAGAACAAAGGCACAATAAATCGACCTATGAAAAACTTAAAGCACTGAATAATATTATATAAAGTAATCAAATATACAATACATGGTTTTCACTATAAATTCAACATTCATTCTTGTTAATTTTGCAAAAGTAATTCAGTCAAATGCAGTAAATTACTTTCTTTCTGATGTTTGATTAACATTATTGACACACATGGCGACAGCAGCTTTATTAGCAGCGTCTGTCACTTTGAGACCTCAGAGTCGGATTCAAGTGCGCTGTGCAAAACCGTCTCAAGTTCACCACAGTCTATGGTTCACCTTGGTCTCAAAACCAGCATTTACAAAATAAATTCTCCCGCTGCTCAGTGCTCACTGTGCCTGAGCAGTTTGAAATAATTTGTATCCAAACCACAACGTTTAAAAACGCGTTTAAATGATAAACTTATATCATGATGGCGCAGCAAAATTTAAATATTTCTACCGGATATATTATCGCCAGTCCTTTAGGCGAATATTGAGTTTAATCAAACACAAAAAGCAAAATTATACATCCATCAAGTTAATATTCAAACTTACCGAAAGTTTGTGGGGTCGATGACGCTGTGTTTTAAGAATAGACTAGATTAGAATGAAGAGAAGAGTAAAGGCGATTTATTGGTTGATGTATAACCTATTTTAATAAGGCGCAGGCAGCAATCATCTATAGGCCTACGTGCAGCAGCAGGTCGGTCGTTCACAAGTTAAATATAGAATAAATATATTTGTCATATCAAATTAAAACCTGACGTTTCAATTTACCATGCCCTGCTCAGCAGGGGCGTGTCTAGAGCATTTTTAGTGGGGGGGCCATGCTGGGGCACTGCCTCCAAATGGGGTGGCCACCAGTGACCAAAAAAAAGCTAAATTCTACGAGTATATTACGTAAATCCTATTGATTGTATTATTTTTTTAACTTGAATAAAGTTACTTGTAAACAAATGTAGTAATAAAGCACATTTTTTATTAGTTTTTTGGCATCCCTGTATATATCCATTAAGTTCAATTTGAGAGCCAGTGTTTATTATTTTTAGTGTTTTTATAAAACTAACAAGTTTATAAAATAAAAGCAATTTTAATAATGAGCAATTTTAAAACCCCCAGAAGCAGAAACAAGGTCAACTATTTTCTTTTAATTAGTTTTGCCATTACAATATACAGTAGTTTTATTCACAATCTCTTTCAAATAATAATAATTAATCACTGTCTGTCTGGCCTGTTGATTCCTTGCTGGCTGATTCTGTTCCAGTGACAATTTTTTCTTGCTGCCTGACATTTTCTTCAGTTGCTTCTGCCTCTACATTTGTTTTGTTTTTATTTTTTCTTTGAAAGAAACTCCCTATGTCTTCACTTCTTTTCATGGCTTGGCACTGCTCTCTTCCCTGCCTTCAAAAAAGAAACACTTATGTTTGTCTGTTATTCTCAATATCAACAAAAACAATTCAATTTGTGAATGAAATGTACAGAATGCATCCATGTCATTTCACGTATAAATTACTAAGTTAGGACTCACAATTTAACTGACTAACTGACTTACTCTCATGCATTAACAAGTAACGTACGTGTCACCAGACAATTATTATAATGTGGTCACTCACTGTCACAAAATAATCTGTTACAAAATATGCAAAATCACCATGACAGTGTTTATTAATTTGTTTGATAGCGCCCAGCGTATTATACTTTTATTAAACTTTGACTGAACTAGGGCTGGCCATTCGATTCAATTTTCTTAGTCGATCGTCGGAAGAATTAACGATCGACTATCGATTAATCATTAATATTTTTATGTTCAAATTTATTATATTTCACTTTTTATAAATTAAAAATGCCATGAAAATACAAATATAAAGCGTGTTTTTCCTCGATAAGATCTTTATTACAAGATGATCAACTTGTGGCAGTTAAACTGGGCGTTCGGTTAGGCTAAATTTGAAGATATGCGTGGCGGTGCTCTAAGGCAACTGAACCTGCAGCTGCGAGTTGGCCCTCGTGAGACCCTCGTTTGTTCCAAAATAATAAATAATAATAAAAATAACTCAACCAAAAACATAATAACATTTAGATCTGACAGGTTTTGTCAACATGGACTCAATCAAGGCACGGAGTCGAGAAAGGGTGAGAGAGATTAGCCTACCTGACAATCAATTAGGCTAGGCTACTTTCTATGGGCTACTTTAAGCTTCATAAAAAATAACTCGCATACAACTTCTGCTCCAGTCTACTGATTTTTGTTGAGAAAGATAAGCATGTTGATGATATGATCTGGGGTCAGACGCGACCGCAACCTGTATGGTGACCGTCAAGCCTTGTTTACACTTTCGCCTGGCACTTCAGCGCGTGAGCGCGAGTCTCTGCTGACTGCGCGTGCTTGCGGACGCGTCGAGTGTAAACAAATGCTTCAGTCCAGCCACTGAAAACGCCGCTCTGATGAGGGGACTGACGTTGCCGGGATGCACAGGTACCTCCGCGCTAACATGACCAGCCCGGGGAACACGTTCACTTTCCACCCAAATTACGCAACGCAGCAGCATTAGTAATATGTTGACTGTTGTTTCTCTGGCGCTGCACTTCTTTGAATCACAAACTTCCGTAGGGTCTATAAACTGATTGGCCGTAAAATGAACAAATCACAAGACATCATATAGGGGGGCACCTGGGGTGGCCAATCGAATTTCAGGGGGGGCCGGTGCCCCCCCTGGCCACCACGTGGACCCGCCCCTGCTGCTCAGAGCCGTTGGCTCTGCATGCCTACGGGGGTTTGATTGACAGGTGGCCTGGCCAATCATAACGCCGAATACGCAACTTTGTCCGACAACAAAGCTGTCAGTCGGTGGACATGAACTTGAAAACGGTAATGTTTAAATTACTTAAATGACAATATTTGAAAGTTGAGACTTTGTTTCATATCAACAGTAAGCTGCTCTGAACTCTCTCTCGTAATCACTCGGTGTAACGTTAGTCTTTGCCCCGCGAAGTATTTTTCACTGCGTGAGTGCATGAGAACATGATGTGCGTGACTCGCGAGAGCCGCCTGGCTCGTGGCCCGTCCGTCACATAGTACCTAAAAAAGGCGGGTCTTTGCGAACGTCTCTATTAATGATAATGATTCCATGATAATGCATGGAATATAAGGCAAAGTGCAACTAAATAACAGGGATAATTTGTGGGGGACGTTGTTGCGTGGTAAGGCTTTGGTAATCAGATGGCTTGCAGTATCTGCTCCACAGCCAATCACGGGCCCCCTCCTTGCTTGGGCCCCGGGGCTTAAGCCCCGCCTAGCCCTATGGTTAATGCGGCCGTGTACAGGACACACATACACACTCTCTCCACACACACACAGATGCTCAGCCAATCAACAGCTCAGCAGTGTCATGATGCTGCTGATTGGTTTTGTGTTTCTTTTTTAGCTGGAGTAGCATATCAGGAGGAAGGACTGATTTATATATTTTTATTATAGGGTCTATCAGTTTGAAATGTTACTCAAATGGCTATATGAATCTGTGTGTGAAAAATATTTTAAAGAAATCCATGCAGTTTGATTTGAAATATGGAAATGAACAATAATGTAAAGATAAGTTTTTCATATGCAATTATTTATACAAATTATTGTTCAAAGAATCAGCAAAACCACATTTTAGTTGTACAATAATGCTTGATTTTTCTATTGAAATATATACAATTAAATAAAGTTAGCACAGGAAGGTTAGCATTATAGCTCATCATACATTGTGTTATTGCTAAAACTAAGGTTTTAAAGCTCTAGTTCTCGCTCTCCCAGGAATGGTGCCGCTTCTGGCTGACATCTTTGAGTTTCAGAAAGGTGAATCTCTGACATATTATCTGATGCACCTAATTGTCCTTCCTGTAATGAACACAAACAGTTATTTTAGGATTTATAGGATAAATGTTAAGAGCAATAAAAGTTTAGTTCCCCATTTAGGAGTTTTTCCACTAGATTTTGGTATCAGAACCAAGACGATATTACAGCAATGCAATAACATGATTTTAAAAAGCATTTAACATTATTTTAGTCCCTTACTTTTGTTACAGAACAACTAAGTAGTAAACTAAACAACATAAACCTGTGACTTCACTCTTTGCAATCAAATAGTCAGCCTCTAAAACAGTTACCTGTGGTGTGCATTGTGCCACAAAGTTCACTTCTCTGAAACCTTCACTACTCTGAAAGATGATCAATTAACACTTGGTAAAGCAATTAAACAATGCAAAATAATGGCCTACTTATAAACTTTAGCTGTGAAAAAGTTCCATTCATCATATATACTGTTGGGTTCAAATCCTGCTGGTAAAAAAAAAGAAAAAAAAAAGAAAGAAATTAAGGAAAAATGTAAACTTACTCTCTCCCGGCACCTTTCCCTGTAAATCAAGAGTAAAGACAATGACAGTGAGCGGTGTCATTAACATTAACAGCTATTATACATAATTTAAAATATACCAATGAAACTTACAGTATGCATGGATCTGTAAAACCAGCCACACACCAGACATAATGCTTTTAAATGGCAGCACTATAACACGCAGATCATCCACTGTGTAACTGCCTCTGTTGCCAATTTATTCCTGTATTAGCACTTTTACTATTTTCGTTTCTTCTGAATTTAATGTTAACAGCAAGACGGAACTAATTATTGGTTCCGCCCGGAGGTTTCCGGCCGGGCGCTTTTGAGCGACGCACTGAGAAAAACATTACCGCGAAAGAGACTGATGTGTCCGCTGTTATCGTGTTTAAGTGCATAAGTTTACAAGAAAATAGGCAGAAAGAAGATACAGAAGATCTGAAAGAATGTTTTAGCACCTCCATGTGATAAGCAGCAATGAGGTTTGTTACCGTTCATTTTGCTGTGATGGTGTTTGTGTTTACATATGTTTTCATGTGTATTTTTGTGATGTAACGTTATAACATATAAGGTGTCTAACGTTAGCTGTATATGGGCTTGATTATGACACAATATTTGTGAGACATGCATGTAGCATTATTTTTTTGTTTATATTTTCTTTCTTCATCTTCAACCAGTTCTCACGGGTTGACCAGCATTAAAGCCCTGTATTCTAAACAAGACCTCTTGCCTCATGTCTGTCACTGGAGGAGCTACAGTGAGAACTCATCTGCTCTGCATGAGTAGATGAGGAAGACAGTACCAAAGAGCCGTAATCCATGGACAAGAAGGGACATCTCTACATCCAAGACCGTGCATCTGCCCCTGACATTTACGCATCCGCAGCATCCACAGAAGAATCCAGGTGCCTTTCCACGAATCCGGATGAAGTTAAGAAGCTTAAATATTTCCCACAAGAGACTGTGACACATCCCTTTTTTGCCGTCATATTCATACGGTATAATTGCGTGCATGTTTAAGTGTTAACTAAGCTGCAATTAAGAGACTTGAAATGAAAATATTCTGCACAAAAGACTGAATTTTGCATTTTGTAGAATAACAAGATATAGATTTGTGTGAAATAGATCTAAAAAAAAAAAAAAAAAAAAAATTCTAAAAACTAATACCAGTAGTAGAAAGTTTAGAAATGTGAATAGCTAAAGAGAAGTGAATCACTTAGCTTTTTGCCAAATTACATTTAACCCAAAATTAAGTACACCAAGTAACAATGTCAGAGCCTAGTCATACATCTAGCAGAAAGCAGGTTAGTGCAGGAAAAAATATAGAGCAACAGTGCATAGACATGCAACTACAAGCCACTAAAGGCACAAGAGCTGATGACCACACTTCCTCACAAGAACCACGAAGGAGCCAAAGAGTCCGAAAATTAACGGAAAAGGGCCAAGAGCTGTACAGTGAGCAAATAAGAAGATTTGCTCACCGTTTCTCTGTGAGTTATGAGGAGTGGAAGGCTATCGCTAAGGACGCCAAGCAAGCCCTGAGTGGACAATGCTCTAAAAACCTGCTACATGAATACATCAGCAAAGTAAGCATGGCCTCAAAGAATCTGAACACTGCTTATGAAGAGTTGAGGCACATAGACAACCCTGACCAAGACACACGTCGCAGAATTGACACCTGTGATGCAGTAACCAGGAAGATCATCCAAAACGCAAAGGATCGTTTGGAGACAGCAGATAACGGTGAAGGAAATGAAGAACAAGGCCACAGGGCGACATCGTCTATATTCAAGTCTGCAGCCTCAGACAAGATAAGTGTCAAATCCCAATTCACTAAGTCCTCTCATGCTCAAGGCAGCTCCAGACATTCAAGTCGGATTTCTGCAAGCAGACAAGATGCCGCTGCTGAAGTTGCTGCCAATGAAGCTACTCTAGAAGTACTACTAGAACAAGAGTGTTGCATTGAGGAATTGGAAAGGCTTGAAGCTGAAGCTGCAGAGAGACAAAAGGTGCTAGATGCAAAGCGCAGACAACTGGAGCGACTAGAGACAATTAAAAAGTTAAAAGCTGCTAAGGCACGTCAGCGAGTGTATGATCAGAGTGAGTGCTCAGATGAAGAAATAAGCAGTCTACTCCATCACAGTGTCTGTATTAAGGGAAGGGAAGAAGCGAAACATGAAAATAATCCGTTGCAGCACCATTCCTCACCACAAGACTGGGCACACTCAAAGCAAGATGAAAGTACAGCAGCTCTTGTGAGAGCACTTGCAGAGTCCATCAGTGCAGGTCGTCTTCCTATACCTGAACCAACAATATTCAGTGGCGACCCACTCAGATTCAATGACTGGAAGGTTTCGTTTCAGACACTCATTGATCGGAAAAACATTCCAACTGAAGAAAAGATATATTACTTGCGAAAGTATGTGGGTGGACCTGCTAAAAAGGCTATAGAGAGCTACTTCCTGCTTGGTTCAGAGTCAGCCTATCATGCAGCTTGGAGGATCCTTGAAGAAAGATATGGGAATCCTTTCCTCATAGCCAAAGCCTTCAGAGACAAGCTGGAGGGATGGCCCAAGATAAGCTCCAAATGCAGTATTGAACTTCAAGAGTTTGTTGATTTCCTTCGGAGCTGTGAGGCTGCTATGACTCAGATCACAGGCCTCAATGTACTCAATGACTGCAATGAGAACCAGAAGTTACTTGCAAAACTTCCAGACTGGCTGACCTCGAGATGGAACAGAAAGGTAATAGAAGTGGAGGAAGAAAGTCACACATTTCCAAACTTCCAGCAATTTGTAGAGTTTCTCACACGTGAAGCTAAGATTGCAAATAACCCAATAACATCTTTCCATGCTCTGAAACCTGCTGAAGATAAGCAGATCAAGGTTTTAAAGAACAGAGCTGTAGGAGCTAAAGTACTAGCAACTAACTCAGATGAAAGGGCTTCCTCCACAAGCTGTTTCTTTTGTGAGAAGTCAGGACACAGTCTACACAAGTGTTGGAAGTTTATGGATAAGACCATCTCTGAGCGAATCAAGTTTGTTCAAGGGATGAAGTTGTGCTTTGGCTGTCTGAAGCCTGGCCATCGCTCAAAAGAGTGTGAAAGTAGGAAGATCTGCGATACCTGTGAGAAAGGACATCCAACCTGCTTACACGATAATCGCAGCAAAGAAAGAGGAATGTCAACAAGGACTGGTAGGGAAATGGAGCATGACAAGTCAAGAGAAGGAACAACAGATCGCTCACAAGAAAAGATGACAAGAACACCACGCGAGGTAACGTCTAACAGAGTTATCCAGAACGTTAAAAGTACCCATACATCCTCAGTCATTCCTGTGTGGCTGTCAACTACAAGTAAGCCAAGTCATGAAGTTCTTGTGTACGCTCTCCTCGATACTCAGAGTGACACAACCTTCATCCTTGAAGAGACAGTTAAGGTGCTTCACACTAAAATTGAACCAGTCCAGTTAAAGCTCTCCACAATGACTTCAAGAAATACAGTGGTGCCTAGCACAAAGCTGACTGGTCTACAAATAAGAGGATTCTACTCGGATAAGGTAATCTCTCTGCCAGTAACTTACTCAAGAGAATTCATCCCTGCAAACAGAGATCATATTCCCACACCAGAGACTGCCAAGTCATGGTCTCACCTTGAGCACATTGCAGATGAAATTGCTCCTCTACAGAGCTGTGACATCGGCCTACTAATTGGCTACAACTGCCCTCAAGCTCTTGTACCAAGACAAGTGGTTGCTGGAGAAGAAAGTGAGCCCTTTGCTCAGAGAACAGACCTGGGTTGGAGTATAGTTGGTTATGGCAACCCATGTCTTGACTTTGGAGATGCCTTTGGAACAAGTCATCAGGTCATTGTGAAGCAAGTGATATCAGTTCTTCCAAATCTCCCAAGCGAAGTGCACTATGTCTGTAGAACACAGATCAAGGAAGTAATCCTTCCTACAGATGTCATCAAGGTGTTGGAATCTGATTTCGTAGAAAGGGCTTCGGAAGACGAACACCTTTCTCAAGAGGATCTTCAGTTCATGTCAATCATGAAAAGCGGCATCAGACTCAAGGAGGACGGGCACTATGAAATGCCACTTCCCTTCAAGAAAGAAAGACCAAACTTACCAGACAACAAGATATGTGGCATCCACCGTCTCAGATGTCTGGAGAAAAGGTTAAAGGGAAATGAGCAGTACTATAAAGACTATAAGGCCTTCATGGAGGAGACAATAGCTCGTGGAGATGCTGAGCTTGTCCCTGAAGAGGATATCAGCAAGACTCCAGCGTGGTACATTCCTCACCATGGGGTGTATCATCCCCAAAAGCCTGGTAAAATCCGTGTCGTTTTTGACTGCTCCGTTAGGTTTCAAGGGACATCCCTGAATGACCATCTCCTGACTGGCCCAGAGTTAACCAACACCTTGGTGGGAGTTTTGTGTCGGTTCAGAAAGGGTCGTGTGGCAGTTATGTGTGACATAGAACGGATGTTCCACCAGTTCCATGTTAAGCAAGAGGACCAAGATTATCTCAGATTCTTGTGGTGGAAGGATGGAGATCTTAAAACCCAGCCCTCCATTTATCGAATGAAGGTCCACTTGTTCGGTGCAGCTTCATCACCTGGATGTGCTAACTATGGCCTAAAGCATCTTGCCGCTCAAGGACAAGAACGTTTTAGAGAAGAAACCATCAGGTTCATCCAGAAGAACTTCTACGTCGACGATGGATTGACAAGTGTAGAATCTGAAGACCAAGCAATCCAACTAGTGAATGAAGCAAGAGAGCTGTGTCGCACAGGAAAACTTCGACTGCACAAGTTCATCTCCAACAGCAAAGAAGTCTTAGACGCAATTCCCGAGGAAGAGTGTGCTAAAGCTGTCAAGGATTTGACCATGATGTTGGGAGAACCACTGATGGAAAGAGCACTAGGGGTACAGTGGTGTGTAACTTCTGATGAGCTGCAGTTTAGAGTGGTTGTCAAAGAAAATCCACTTACACGCAGAGGGGTCCTGTCCACAGTTGCTTCTGTGTATGACCCACTTGGATTTGTGGCACCCTTCATCCTGGTAGGAAAGAAGATCCTGCAGCAGATGTGTCGTGACAAGCTCAGTTGGGATGATCCTTTGCCTGATGACCTTAGACCCCTGTGGGAGTCTTGGGTGCAAGATCTAAAAAACTTGGCTGAGGTGAGAGTCCAAAGACACTATCTGCCATCAAGCTTCAAGGTCCAACATTATGAGCTCCACCACTTCTCTGACGCCAGCGTGTCAGGCTATGGAGAGTGCTCGTATTTACGAGCAGTCAGTACATCAGGTGAAGTCCACTGCTCCTTAGTCATGGGAAAGTCAAGAGTAGCTCCTACTAAAGTCATGACTATACCAAGACTCGAGCTGTCAGCAGCAGTGGTAGCAGTCCGGACCAGTGACATGCTTAAGAAAGAACTAGAAATAGACTGCCAACAAGAATGTTTCTGGACTGATTCAAAGGTGGTACTTGGGTACATCGGTAATGAAGCCAGAAGATTTCATGTTTATGTAGCAAATCGAGTTGAGCGTATTAGACTAAGTACAGATGCCGGACAATGGAGATATGTAGCTTCAGAAGATAACCCAACTGATCACGCCTCAAGGGGTGTCACGGCAAAACAACTCACAGCTTCTAACTGGTTCACAGGTCCAGAGTTTCTTTGGCAGAAAGAGTTACCAACTGGAGAAATCATGGTGGGAGAGATCGAGAGCAGTGACCCAGAGGTCAAGAAAGCTCAGGTTCATGACACTCAGGCAAAAGAAGCAAAAACACTCCTAGAGCGTCTGCACAAGTTCTCAGACTGGGCAAGATTGGTGAAAGCTGTTGCCAGACTCAAGCGCCTTGCTAAGGAAATCAAAGGTCTCAAGCCAAGATCCAGTGATGCCTCAAGCTTGGAGGAAAGGAAAGAGGCGGAGCTGACCATAATCAAGATGGTGCAGGAAGCAACTCTCTGTCAAGAAATTCAATGCCTTAGACATCATAAGGAGACAAAGCTCAAAGACAAAGTCAGCCAGCTGCACAAGCTATGTCCATTCCTGGATGATCAAGGTGTAATGAGAGTAGGAGGCCGCTTAGCTCATGCTGCCCTACATCTACATGTGAGGTATCCAGCAATCCTTCCTAGAGACAGTCATGTGTCTGCATTGCTCATCAAGCACTATCATGAAAGAGTGTACCATCAAGGTCGAGGAATGACTATTAATGAACTCCGAGCCAATGGTATATGGATCCTGGGTTGCAGCAAGCTTGTTTCATCCCATATTCACAAGTGCACACGTTGCAGAAAGTTCCGAAGATGCACAGAGCAACAAAGGATGGCCGACCTTCCAGAAGATCGGATGGAAACAACTGCGCCATTCACTTACTGTGGAATGGACTGCTTCGGACCGTTTCACATTAAGGAAGGAAGAAAGGAGCTAAAGCGTTATGGGCTGTTGCTCACCTGCATGTGTTCCAGAGGAGTTCACATTGAAGCACTTGATGACTTGACCTCAGATGCCTTTATCAATGCTCTGCGTTCGTTCATCGCCATTCGGGGATCAGTAAGGCAGATAAGGTGTGATCAAGGGACAAACTTTGTCGGAGCAAGGCGTGAGTTCATTGAAGCATTGAAACAGATGGATCAAGAGGAGCTCAAGGATTTGGGCTGCGAGTTCATCATGAACACCCCGGCCTCAAGTCATATGGGTGGTGTCTGGGAAAGGCAGATACGCACTATCAGAAGTGTCCTGGCGTCCATTCTACAACAGTCGTCCAGACAACTAGACTCCTCTTCCCTACGAACATTTCTATATGAGGCCATGGCGGTTGTGAATAGCAGACCTCTAACCACTGATCATCTGAACGATTCTACTAGTCCAGAGCCCTTGACACCAAACCATATCTTGACCATGAAGTCCACAATCATTCTCCCACCTCCTGGAAGGTTTGTCAAGGAAGATCTCTACCTCCGCAAAAGATGGCGCAGAGTTCAACTCTTAACCAACAACTTTTGGGTACGGTGGAAAAAGGAGTACCTCTTAAATCTCCAACACAGACAGAAGTGGACCAAAGATCGCAGAAATGCAAAGGTCGGTGACATTGTTCTGTTGCAAGATGTTGCCACACCGCGAAACCAATGGAAGCTAGCAAGAGTCATCGAGGTGTATCCTGGAAGTGATGAAAGAGTGAGGAGACTCAAGTTACTTATCAGTGACTCCTCCCTGGATGGAAGAGGAAAGCGTACTTCCAAACCTGTTTACCTGGAGAGACCCATTCAGAAAACAGTTACATTGATAGAAGCAGACTGATGGTTCAATCATACACACAGACACAGTTTATTAGTTGTTTATTAGGATAGAGTTCAATTTTATTTATTCATGCAATATGTTTGTCTCCAAGTTTAAGAAATCACTTGTGATTTGGTGGGAGTGTAACTGCCTCTGTCGCCAATTTATTCCTGTATTAGCACTTTTACTATTTTCGTTTCTTCTGAATTTAATGTTAACAGCAAGACGGAACTAATTATTGGTTCCGCCCGGAGGTTTCCGGCCGGGCGCTTTTGAGCGACGCACTGAGAAAAACATTACCGCGAAAGAGACTGATGTGTCCGCTGTTATCGTGTTTAAGTGCATAAGTTTACAAGAAAATAGGCAGAAAGAAGATACAGAAGATCTGAAAGAATGTTTTAGCACCTCCATGTGATAAGCAGCAATGAGGTTTGTTACCGTTCATTTTGCTGTGATGGTGTTTGTGTTTACATATGTTTTCATGTGTATTTTTGTGATGTAACGTTATAACATATAAGGTGTCTAACGTTAGCTGTATATGGGCTTGATTATGACACAATATTTGTGAGACATGCATGTAGCATTATTTTTTTGTTTATATTTTCTTTCTTCATCTTCAACCAGTTCTCACGGGTTGACCAGCATTAAAGCCCTGTATTCTAAACAAGACCTCTTGCCTCATGTCTGTCACTGGAGGAGCTACACACTGTTCTCTCTCCCTTGTCTAAACAGAAGAATTTAGTGCTCTCTCCAACAGAACCGTTCAAAAATATAAATATTGTTTGGGTGTCGACACTTACAGACTTGCAGTATTAATTCTGTGGCAAGAGAAACAGAGTTGACCACTGGCAGGCCTGCCACCCCATACATGAACAAAGTAGTGTAAATGACGTCTGCAAAAGAGGAAGAATTAGGATGCATTTTTATGCCCTACTGATTCATTGAAAATGTTTACGAATTCCATTGGCACAAAGTAAGCAAAAATCTGAATGTTTCTTGACTTTCTTATCCTCATTTGTTACCAGGAACTGTTCTGTGGAATCGTGAGGGTGCAATTGCAGTTAAGACATGGAGCAGAACTGTGACAAAAATCCATCCAAAACGCTCTATGATCAATAACACATTATAATAGTCAGGTTACAATTGCTGGAAAGCGATGCTATAACAAAAAATCGAACAAAAAAAATGTATGAAAATATTTGGATGATATATTAGCATAAACCACTCAAAACATTTAAGTAACAATGCAAGCAATTTATGTTTTTTTTTTTTCAAAATGAATTGGGCAACTGATTTTGATAATATTTTAAACCAACTTACCGTTATTATACTCCAGAATCATGTTCAGATAATATAAAATAAATCCACTATGCCCGATGAGCGTGACAACCATAATGTTTACCCAAACTAAATCTAGGATAGCGAGAGACAGAAAGATCATCATTAATGCAGACAGCATTTTACTTTAACAATTATAATTTGGAATTTTAAGTCACCTTTAGATGACTTAAAATTTCATTAAAATTAGCTAAAATGACTTAAAGTTAAGATATTCCTTATTCTAATATTTATTAAAAACATTCCTCTTTTTTTTGGCTCTGAAGTTATAGTTATAATGACTATAGTTCCGAAATGGTATATGGTGGGGTCCGGATAACAGGAATGTACCATATTTTGTAATGTGTTAGGAAGAAGTCCCTAATGCTCGTCAAGACTGCATTTATTTGATCTAAAACGCAGTTAAAACTGTAATATTGTAAAATGCTATTACAATTACTATTATTACTTGAATATATTTTAAAAAGTCATGTATTCCAGTGAGTGCAAACCTGAATTTTATATATAATTTATATATAGTGAATTTTATGTATAGTGTTGAATGATTTTTCACATTAAACCATATAGCTTCCATAAATTTCAGGTGATCTCAGCATGAGAGAGAAACAAGATGAGGAAGGGAGAGAATTGATTTTGAGTTGATTCACTGTGGTTCCGTCTTTGACGGGGATGCTAGTTTCTCAAGAGAAAGTTCAAATGTTAATTTCCTTAGTTCTCTTACAGTAAAAGCGTTGAAAGATATATATATATATATATTTCACTTGAGTATCCATTTATACCAGTCAGTTTACTCAGACTCAAACACTAATTAGCCTCCAGTATTTAAAGCTTTCATTATTTTGATGTTTGACTTCATTATTTGGAAAGGGAGCAATTGATCAGATTAAAGTTAAATATCAGTGTTAATATGTTCCCTTTTAATTATGAGAGTTTTGGAGGTCTAATGAACCCTAATATACATTTTCATTTTAATTAATTGAAATTGCTTAAACAATAAAACAATAAAAAGAAAATGCAAGATTTTCCAATTTTCAGGACACATTTTATTGTATCACAGAGCCTATTTCCATTGTGCAACTAAATATTCCAAGTACAATTACAATTTATTGCAAACTTTTCCATTGTTTACGCCAAATCGTTTGTGGCACAGGTGTTTTGAGAGACTTGAATTCAATTTGAGACACATTTCAACTTTTACAGAAGCAGGTTAAAACCTGCAAATTAGAAGTCCAAATAAAAGCTCTCAGATAGAAACAATACTTATGGTTTGAAACCCACCCACAGACTGGGTCATAAGCCAAATACTTTTCCCAATAGTAAAAAAAATAATAAAATACTTTTGCGGTGACCATTCATTAAACTTTTGACAGCCTTAATTATATAAAGCTTCATGCCACTATCTTGCAAAATATTAAAACCAATAACTGAATTAAAAGGGAATGTATTATTTTGTGAGACAAATTAAGTTGATTAAAATCGCAGCCATCATACCCATTTGTCCAAACTCAAACTCTCTTTAACTTGTGTATAGACTGATAGTAAGACTTGAACTATTTTAAACAAAAATTACGAAACATTCAGATGAATGACCAAACACTAAAGCCCCAGGATGTTTTATGCATGTGAATTTTTTTACTGCATCCAATTAATTACACTGATTTTGAGATGCTGAAATCCCTCTGTCAGTGTGCTGTGAATCAGGGGTGTGATTTGGCGTTATGTCGCTCAATGCCCTTGTTTTCTGGAATATGCTTGTAAGTGCAGCGATCATTCTTTAAGCAGCCAGTTGTCCTCCAAAAATAGCATTCATCAGGTTGTTTGCTGAGAAAAAAAAAGTAGTAAAGACAAAATTCAAATTACCATAAAAAAACCATTGCACATATTGCAGAAATTTAAATAGATAAGATTATGTTAACTAACCATAAAGTTCTGATTTTATATTTATATCATGTAATAATCTATCCTACTTCAATTTCTTTGTCTTAAGGTGACTAAACTTTCCATTCTAGATCTAACAATAAAACAAGACAAATCTTATTTCCTTTTACGCAGCCATGAGGCAAACTTTCAATATGAACTAACCATCTAACAAACTTTTGACTTAATGTAACCTTGGTCAATGTAAATTTGAAAATGAACTGAACGTTCTGTTCTTTTACTGTTTTAACAACGTGATTGACTGAAATGTTGACCCCACTGTTTTTGAAGATATAGGATATTTTTGCTGAAGTCACTAACAAAGGACAATGAGGGGATGGGTCTTGCTTAAAACAATTCAAAATAAGCAAGTTTACTCACTCAATCTTCCCTGACTCTGTAGATGCATCTCTGGACACTCCAAGACGCGTGTGAATCCTATCAGGATAACGCACCACTAGAGTTGTCCCCTCAATGGGATAACCCTGCAATACACAAGAAACATATATAAACTGTAATGTTTCCCTCATTAAAAAGACAATGCATTCCATCCCCACTGCAAGATCTTCATTTGACCCCCAATATCACCACACAAGGGATAGACATATTATAAGCAGCTATATCATCACCAGCATGTTTAACGTTCAACATACTTACATGAAAGTCTTTTATGGCTTTCTCAGAGTCTTCCTTCTTGGTGTAGTTAACAAACGCACAGCGTCTCATTTGTAACACTCTGACACTATGGACATGTCCAGCTCTGTTTCACAAAGATGAGATCCATTACATCAATACTGAATTAAGCATTTTACTAGTTTTAAAAACCAATGAGGTCACTTACAAGCTGAATAGGGAATAAAGCTTAGCCTCAGTTACAGAAGGCACTAGATCTCCAACCCAGATAGGGAATAGCTCTCTGTTTAGGGATGAAAGACACATCAGGATTCAGCTGATTTTATGGTGAAAGGTTGTCTCATGAAAGCTTGTATGCGTGCATCTTACGGGGCATGATGACGAACTGGAGCAGCGAGTGGCATACTGGGTCGAGGCTGATTCTGAGGAAGAGGTCTGAGAGGCAATTTAGCTGGAGGTTTTGGGTGACGCTCTACAGACTTAAACTCATTTTCTGTGGGAACCACGACAGGGGCTAAACCTAAAAAATAAAAAAGTGATATTAATGCTAATTTAATCATCAATCTCAATGAACTACTTATTTTAATTGTCTTCCTCTGTATTTGCAAATATATTTACATACATGGAAATCAGTGTCTTTCAGAGTGTTGCCACAAAAAAAAAAAAAGAGTGAAAGAAATGTATCAGGGTCAGAAATAAATAGCACCAAAATGAACATTAAACGCCCCCCAAATTCAAGATACAGGGGCAAAAATAAAGTAAATCCTCCAAAAACAAAAATGTTTGTACTGTACTACGGTAGTCCTTAAAATACACAGGGCTATAATCTACAATATTGCAGCCCTACCCTGTAATGAGTTCCTATTTGTTTATTCTATAATTAATATACTTTATTAAGGCTATTTAAAATTACCTTCATCTCAAACCATTATGAAATTGTTGTGTAAATACATTTATGCCACATTTAATCTGTAAGTGTATATCAACATAAGATTCAACTTTGCAGTGTAAAGAAGGCATTAGTTGAACACATTTTCTAAGTAACAGACTATATAGTATTATAATTGAGGGAAATTAATTTCATAAATGTAAATAACTGGATACAAAAACAAGAATATACTTATTAAAAGAGAATTCTAAAAATAACAAATGCTCCAGGAAATCACTTTGTGAATATATCAAATGACGGGGCAAATATATCTCCTGAATAGAAAAGTTCATTTCTGACTGATGTGTAGATGCATTATCATACCTGGTATCCCAGAGAGAGCTTCTAAGGCTTTTTCTACAGTTCCATGAAGAATAAGGGCATTTGAACTCTGCTCTTTGGTGAATCCCATTTCCTGTTAGAAGAAGCAAGTGTATTTTGATATGCTCATTCAGGTGATTCATAACCAACGGGCAACTTAAAACCAATATTCAAGCAGTGTTAACGCTAAAACAAAGTGTGGTCCATTATTTATTCCCATACACTCACCATAAGCTGCATGATCTGGACCCTCATCAACTCCTCAGCTGCCTCCTTCTGTTCAATGAAGCTGCCACTGTCCAGTTTTAACACTTCATTATATGTAAGTCTGGCTTCAAAATATCTCTGACAGAAGGGGAAACAAGATTGCATGAGAATAAAATATAAAATAGGAGAAGGGATTTTTTGCATGTCAGCCTGTACTCTAAATGATGGATGACACTGGCAAAAAGTTGTGGTAATACCTTCAAACCAACCAGCGCTTTGCCTTTTCTGTAAAGCCCTTTAATCCATTTGGGGTTCATAGAAAGAGCAATATCAGCATCAGTTAAAGCTTTCTCATACTCCAGCATCTTTTCATAGCAGTAAGAACGATTTCCAAACAACCTGCAAACACACAAACGCATTATAAATGTAACCTCTTCAAAGACATGATCTGCTTGATTGTTTTAGTTGAAACTCTTGACATGGACTCTTACTTATACTCTTTAGGGTTGTGTTTTATAGCATCTGTAAAATATTTCACAGCCATCACCAGGTTTCCTGCGTCAGCATACTGGTTACCTAAAACTATAGAAAAGAGGTGGGAATTTGGAGGGCATTTCATGACTAAACCATTTTTAAAGAAAAGAAAAAAAAGCACACACACCTGCAAGCTCCACGCTTCTTGTAATAAAATAATTTGCATTGACAGTCTCCTCTGACTTCTCCTCCTCCTTGTTGTTATCAATCTTCAGGAATAAAGAATTTAATGTTATGGAAATACAGTCAAGAATTGGCAGCTTCAGAAAGGCAGGCTGAGAAGGATCATGGTTATATAAACATTCTATTGCAAGAATATGGTAAATAAGCCTCTTATGCTCACCAAGGCTGCATTTATTTGATAAAAAAAAAACTGGTAATATTGTGAAATATTACAGTTTAAAATAACGTATCTACTTGCATTGTGAAATGTTATTTCTATTCAACTACAATTTCATAGTCATCGTGTGAAATCCTGTGCTATTGCATCCTGTTCTGCTAGTTCTTATGTACACACTGTTAAACAGTAACTTTTGAGAAGAAAGTGGCACTTCTACCACTTTCAGTGCTGCTGAAATAGGCTTCTTTAACATTCATACAGCAAACCTGATACAATTTTTAATATTCATCTCTCTCTGGTTTTCCTTCTGGAATATATATATACACATCTACTCTCATTGCCTTGTACCGGCCCATCAACCAGTTTTTCTTTTATTTGTTTTGATCTGATTACATAATTAGAGAAATGATTAACTACCTTCTGTCAGGATTTGAGGTCAGGTTTATAACAAAGTACACTGCATCACGCCCATACCCGTCTTTTTATCATCTTCCCACCAATACATTTTTTTTTTTTTTTTACAAAAAATAAATCTAAATCACAATCCTGAGTAAACAATTTGGAAGTTGATCAAAAAATACTAGACATAATGGATTACATATCTCAGTTATGTAGTTATGCGTCTTATCCCACTAAGACGCAAGATCTATTGCATATTTACCCGGTTGTCTCCAAAGCTTATTTGTATCTAGATCATTAAACATGATACAACTCTAAATCACCAGACAGTAAACCAGGTGATTTCTATTTTAGACATGCCCAATAACTATATTTTAATTTTCAGTTGTGATTTTAATTCAAGCACAAAATTGGAATATCACAAAATAAAACATATGCGAATGAAGCAGTGTTTTCATCCTATGTGTGCAAGAGAACAAAACAGTCACTTCCTGAGAAATTGGTGCAAAATATCAGCATCTCAGAGCGCACAGAAAAAAAAAAACACAGTTACCATCATACCAAGAACGTTCCCTCAACCTATTTAATAGTATTATATACATTTAAAAAAAAACAAAAAAACTCCATATTTCTTACATGTCCTCTTATATCATCCTTTCCAACCGGTTTTTGTGGTGTAGTGGTGCCTTTCTGCTCCGACCCACGCTGTTTTCTTGAGTTAGCTTGAACATATTTCTTGTCAGGTTTGGGTTTTTGTTCTAGTTTACGCTTGGCGATAGCAGCTGCGTTTGACACAAAGCAGCTATTCATGTCAAGCTCCTAAGACACATAAAGCACTGTCAACTGAAAAGCTCTTTATCTACAGTACAAATCATTTAACTTTTGTAAATGACAAGAGACATTAAGTCATATTGCCCACCTCTGGTTCCATAGTTGACTCTTCCTCTTCGTCGTCGTCTTCATCGTCATTACTGCTATCACTGCTCTCCACAGGTTTTGAGGTGTGTTGAGGACCAGAAGTCACAGATGAACAATTTTTGTTTTTAATTTTATTTTCATTTTCATCTTTATCTGCATGTTTAGTCTTTTCTGGTCCAGGGTCAACTTGTACCTTAGAACAAAGAAAGAAACACCAAGATAAAATGAAGTCTGTGGACTTTCAGTGAGACAGACTCAAAACGATGGAGGTATGATATGACGAGTTACCATAAACTGAAGCATCATTTTAATTAATACTTAAAACATACAATCACAGTCACACACAATAACATTTCTCTTCTCTTACCAGTTTATTTTTTTCTTTATCTGCATTTTCCTTCTCTAATTTTTCCAGCCGACGCCTCTCTTTCTGTCTCTGTTATATAACAGAAAAATATAACAACTAAATATTCCGGCTTATGATAGTCAGGCAAAAGTACTTTTTTTTCCTTCATGTATGCTCTCACCATCTTTTTCTGTTTCTTCTTCTCTGCCTTTTTCTTAAGTTTTTCTTCTTCATCCACTAGCTCTTTTGCATTTTTTTCTGCTTCCTAAAACGAAAGTTAAATAATATGTTAAATGAAACGTTAATTAAAACAACAAGTGAACCACAGGTGTTAGACACAAACCTCAGCTGTTATGCGTTTGGATGGTTTTGGCAGGCCTCTATCAAGGAAGTTTTGAGAAAAGCCACAGTATCTGTTGTTTGTATGGACATCATACTTATCGTTATCGTCATCATAATCATAATAATCCTCATCAGATGAATCTTCATATCTTGTAAATTGAGATGCAAAGCGGTCCAGTTCTGGAACTTTAATACAAAAATAATTGCTTATATGCCACACACACCTAAAATTCATTAAGTGGAAATGAGTAGAGAACACTAGAACAAACAATATTTGGAGCAGTTTTAATGTATTGCAATAATAACCAAATCTGAATATCAGACTAGCCCTACAACATAGGTTTTAAATAAACTACCGTGCATGGCTATGGGCTATATGCACGCATAAGTTCCGCATTTGACGTAAGGATGCTCGTCCATTTCCGGTTGTGTAGATTAAAGCGGAGGAAAACCGGAGAAAATGGGATTATGGCAGAGTCTTCAATATTTACTGTCCTCCCGTCTTTGAAACGAAACGTACATACGTTTAGATGTAATTTTATATATAGTTATGTTTATTTAATATAATTTTAAAAAGAAGCATAAACACAACGAGGGGTGTCTGTTTTATCTGTTTTTGTGACTAACGTTTCATTAGTATAACCATGGAGTATAAAATTCAATATAAATTCTCGGTATTGCATTGGACTCTATGGGTGCTTCTCATTTCTTATTTGTGCATCCTCGTTTCCTTTCCTTGCTTCCTTTCCTTGCGTCTCAGCTCCACCCCCTGTAGGACGTGAGGGAAGGAAGCGAGGAAAGGAAAGGAGGACAGAGGAATCGAATAAAAGCTTTTTTATATCCATTGGAATACTTGATCACTCGAGCGTCACTCCACAGTGTCATCAGCAGCGCTAAAAGGATCTGCCCTTATGTTGTTGAAGTTTGGTTATTTAATAAATTCATAATAAATAATAATAAAGATAGGCTATACTGTTGAAATATTTGAGATGTGTGGTTTATATAAACTGCAAAGGTAAAGTATAAATTAAAATGATTGTGACCGATGTGAAGGGGGAGGAGAATTGACACGTGCGTCACGTTTAGTCAGTATAACAGTTCCGTGTAGGATGCACCTGTGTATCCTCGCTTATGACTCCTCAGGAAGCCTCCTATCTCCTCGATCCTCGACTCCTCACGGTGCAATTAGAGAATTGAGATGTCCTTCAAGATGGCTGAGCTCGATCGGTTTCCGGGTCATAGGAGGGAGGACGGAGGAGCGAGGAGACGAGGAGGGATATTGAGAAGCACCCTATGATCGGCGGAAGTTATCGAGCATCCTTAATCCTTCACCGGAAATAACGCCGTGCATAGAGCCCATTAGGTCATGTTTGTGTGAAATAAAGACGTTTCTTACCAAATTGATAACCAAAACTTAAAGCATCTAAGAAGCTGCGGTTTGTAGGTCTATCTTTGATAAAATCGACCATAGCCTCCTAAAAAAAAAAAGACAGCACAGAAAAATAGAAATTACGGACTAAAACTCACCAACCCAGATTAATTAGAATTTAAATAACGCTGAATAATGTGATCAATCAATACACAGAAACGTAATCACTCACGTGAGTCCGCATGAGGCGTTCATCATCACGCATCCGGAAGTATTCTGAAAAAAATCATAAGAAAAACATATTTTTTAAAGTTTGAACATTCATTAACACAGATACAGTCAGTAAGAGTGAATTGTGTGGCTCAATCCGCAGTATGTGATCAAAACATGGCTTCTTTCGTAGAACTACTGTTTAAGTTTGAGATATACAAAACCCAAAAATATACTATTATCAAGACACCATACATAAAAATGGAACTCTTTCAGAGCCTCTGCACAATTTTCAGGCCTTTCTTTGTTAAACGACACGTCCTCTCTATTGTTGTTAGAGCTACATGTGTTTGCATGAGGTGGCGAAGTTTTAGTAAACGTCATGAAAAGAGGCGAGCAATACTTACCCGGTCCTATTGTGTTCTTTCTTGACATTTTTCCGAATATATTTATATATGTTGAGTAATTCTAAATTATAAAATATTTAAGTAACTTCTAAATGGTTTTACATTCCTTCCAATCGTAATGTTTTCTCGAGATTCGTCTCCACCTTTGCTCACACAAGACAGTGCCCGTGCCCGTTTACACGCATGCGCACCTACTTAATCTAGACGTACGCGCGCAACCATGTGCACCACGTGGTGCGGTTGGGAAGAGAGAAATAATTAGTTTGAAATAAAATAAGATAAACTGCATTTATAGCATATTGTGCAAATAATTAGTTTGTCTACTAAATATAATAGACCACATTTTAATGTAAAGATTTCTTCTAATTTTGTTTGTTATGAGGTTGCATAATCGACACATTAAATGAATGGAAACAATTTATTTACAGAATAAAATGCTAAATTAATCATTGAACATGTACCAGCCTCTCACGGTACAGAGATATTATGTATTTTTGGCTTGGGTTTTCTGTCAGTATCCGGAATCATTTGAATAGTCTTGTGGAGTGAGGTAATGCCATTGGGGAGAAGCCAAGAATAATTGTGGTATGTGTTTTTAGGGATGTGCCAAAAAAAAAAAAAGAAAAGAAAAGAAAGGGAGGAGAACACCCAGGTCATTAACTGTATGAAAGTGAAATTATTTTATTATTTTAAACTATTTCCCAGTTTACCAGTTTGTATTCTAGGCACTACAATAATTACAGTAAACATCTTTAGGTAAAATAGTTTAGTTTGTTTGCTGGATATAAAAAAATTGGCCACTGTAGGCCTATTTTTCTCAATGCATTTTTCTGAATCTGCAGCAGATCGTCAAGACAATGGCATCATGATGAAAACTGTTATAAAGTACAGTTAATGCACATTTTGTATAGATAGTTCTCAATAAATTAATCTAAAGTAACCAAAAAATCGAAATAAAACTTAAGCAATTATCTTGAAATAACGTTTACAGCACTCATGCCTTGTATTTCAGTACTATGTCAAGATAGAAACATGGATAGAAAGACTAAATACTCTGCAGCAATGTAAAGTATAAATAAAGCTTTGCACATTTTGTACTCTCACTTCCCGCGCAAAGCCGCGGGCTTTTCTTTTTGCCATAGCAACAGCGTCATTTCGCCTAGCTACTGGCAAAGCACTGAATCTCATGTTGTATTCAATTTAGCTAAAGCTAAACCGTGTAAGTGTGTCTATGGGGTTCTTGTGTTTAACACATATGTTTAACATTGAGATAACCAAATTCGCTTAAGAAGCTAGCAAGTTATTAGCCGATGATTACACAGTACATTTTGTTACTGGAACCTGGTTGTATTCAGTTGTATTTTATTAGTTTCACGGTGAATTCAAACTCCTGCAAGTGCGCATGCGCGCTAACGTCTGCGTCAGTGTGTCTGTCAGGTCACAACCACAACATGGATTTAGAGGAGGATGCTGCAAACGTAAACAATGTAAGTGTATGGAAATTGCTTTCAAGTAGTAAAACTAGAAATATGGTTGCTTACGTGTTTTTTCTGGAATGTGAAATATATCTTTCGATATAATTTCTGCACGATAGATCTTACCTCGCTAATCGAGACAACATTGATTGTTGCTAGTACTAACACTGCATGGCAACAAGTGAGCGGTGCTCAAACTTTGCGCTAATGACTGTCCAGTGACTTGCTGGCACTCAACGCATAATTATTTATTTATATAGTCAACATTCAACTGAAGGCACAAGAACAGACTTGTGGATGAACGTGAAAAGCTTTGTAGTCATCGGCTAATAACTTGCTAGCTCATTCTGGCTAAATAACGTTAGTGGATTGCAGACACAGCATCACAAAAACAAGAGTTTCTAGTAGTGTAACTTAAATCACTCTTACTCCACTTAAGTGATAAGGAATAATAAATGATCAATTCTGCCATATGTAATTGATGGTCGAAGTAATCACACACATGCACTTGCATAAATAATTCTGTGAATATTCCTGATAGTGTGCTAAACCAGGATACGTTAGACAAGAAATTATGAGAAATGTAATTGTATAACTAGTAACCAATTTGAATAACGGAGAGGTAATTAGAGTACAAGAAACTAGAGACTCATAATAATGGTGTAAGGGGGGCTTACAGTTTTCAGCTCAGGACCAGAGATGATGAAATGAGACCAGGAGTCGTGAAGTTCAATCAAAGAGAAAAATTTACTGAAGAATCGTACACCAATTATACTGTTTTCAAGGGCATACATTACATAAACATTCACTTCTGATTGGCTAAGAGAACATAAAATGTAAACAATTATACATAGATAGAAGGGCATGTTGACATCAATCTTGATATCTGTCATCCAAGTCACGAAAGATTCAGCAATGACCTCAAGGGTGCCATCGAAAAGCGTCATGAGACCTACTGCCCATGTCACGAGATCTGCACAGAACATTCAACACACACCAAAGCACAATGGAATACAGACCTAGCAAGATTGTACAGGCCTGAGCTCTTATTCTCATGTCAAGTGACCCATAACATACTGATAAAACCTTCCATCCTCAGAAAGAGAAGAAATAACAATTACTTTATTTCTTGAGAGATAAGTACAAATTTGTGAAACAAATCATAGAGCCATACAGAAGTTGACCTCTGTCCCTCAATGGGGTCAGCAGAAAAACATGATCATATGATGAGGGTCTTCTTTAGGCTTAACACATTCATTAGTTTATTAAATCCATACATACAAAGAGCCTGCATTTAATGTCTAGCTCAGGGCCACAGCAGATTAGTCACAGACATCATGATCATGAGATATTCATGAAACATATAGGAATGATTATAACTTGATTAGTGCTAATTATAAGAATAATGTAATCATAAAAAGGATATGTATACTTGAATTGAAGAGGCAAGGGATGATTCTGACCCCAAACCTTCAATGGATGGAGAAATAAAATGAAAACATAAATCAGATTAATGACGAAATTCAACTACCTGTTGCAGTCCATAAGAACATGAAATGTACTTGGCTAACAAAAAATTAATGATTAGCTGATAATAAATGTATTGTAAAGTAATCATAAAAGAGACAAGGAAAACAGTGAATATATGGATATATAGATATGTGAATACAATACAAAATTGAACACACTAATTCATTTTAATAGATATGCTTTCACCTTTACAGACCCCTGCAGAGGCTCTCTGCCAGGATCACGGACAACATGTGCATGCTTCAGAGGCTGACAGACCATACACAGATCCTGACAATCATGGAAGACCATATAGTAACACTCAGGACTTAAGCGTGCAGCCAATGATAGACAGATCTGAGACTTTACAACTAGGTACAGACAGCAGGTGTATTTATACAGTGGGCTCCAGAGATCTGAGATTCAATCTAATTTAAACCTGGGATTTGGGGATTTTGACATTTTAAAATATTGTGATCTCTGCTGCAAATAAAATAAGCAATTTTTTTTTGTACAGATGGTCAGATGCTCTTCCACTCAAGTTCAAGATGCTCTTTGCATCATATCAAATTATACTGGAGAATGTGATCATCAGGGTTTCGCACAAACTTGTACAGTCAAGCGGTGATACTGTAATTAAAGCAAAGGGCGTTTCAGATAATCTTTTCAATCGGATGCTGACAAATTTGTCATGAATTTTTTATTAAATACAAAACATTTCTCAGACGTTTGAACCCCATTGCACATTACTTTGTGCCTTAGCGCAAGTTACCTACATACATATTTATTTGTAATTTACATAAAGACATATATAATCATTACATCAAATGATTTTCTTTTTCCCCAGAGTTTCAGGATAGCCAGATGTCCCCTGCACTTACCCTGCTTCCCTGCATGGACAAATCTCACCTTCTTTCTGACTCCACATTTTTTCTGCATACAGATGCAGAATTTGTCCCTCTCCGGTACTGTTTCTTTAGTCATGTTCATGGTTTTGGGCTTTTCTTTCTTTCTTTACCTTTTTGTATTTTTTAGATAATATTTTATTTATTTTATTTATGTACACAGGGGATTTCCTGACCTCTCAGTTGTCTCTGACAGATGCCCCAGGACTTCGCATGTAGTTGTAACTGATGCTTCCCTCCTTCAACATACTATTTATGACCAGGCTACGCTTTCCCAGCATCCTTTGGAGGCACCAGAATCCATGTTAGAGGGTGAAAAAAGCTGCTGTTCACTTTCCCAGCACAGCTTGTCACCTGGAGACAATTGCAAAGGACTTGAGGATCAAGGGATTGTTTCATATGTTGCTGCGGATAAAATCAGCAGATATATGGAAGGAGAGGAGCAGACCACTGCTCAGCAGCTTAGTGAGGGAATGTCTGCTCAGCTCCTATCAGAGTACAGGGAAGAGGATGTTACTGTGGCAGTTAGCAGCAGTAGTGCTGTTTCCTCTGCCTCAAATACCCAAAACACTGACAAAAGCCAGTTGGATCCTTCCATGAACCTTCAAACAGGCCGAGAGCAGCGACAAGGAGGTTCACTGTCATCACCATCTTCATTTCAGAAGGCTGCAGGTTCAGATGTGTCAAATATTACTTTTCGTGAGTCACAGATGCACCCATACCAAGCAACCGACCATCTCCGCGATCAGCTTCTGTCTGCAGGACAAACAGGCTCAATCTCTGCCCCAGCAAGTATTCATCATAGTGGGAACAAAAGTGGACTATGTGTCACACCTGCTGATGAAGGTGTGACGCATGTACCAGGTTTGCAGAGAGCGCTTTGGAGCTCCGGTCATCTAACAACGACAGATGGATCATTTTTGAGCTTGCAGCCTGTGTCTCAGTCCACACCTTCAGTACTTCTCATGAGACCCCCACCAGCATTGACCAAACTCTCACTCAAAGACTCCAAACAAGAGGCTGTTGCCTTTGTGGCTCCATCAGCCGAAAACAGTCACTCAAAAACTGGCTTATTAACATCATTGGACCTAAGTGACCAACATTCTTCTCCTATCTACTCTGAAACAACAGCTACAGCCTTTGGTGGACCTTCAGAGACTCCACAAATGATGTCACGTGTCTCAAATGAACAAGTCTCTCCTCTGGTTTTAAATCCACCAGCCCCTGATACACTTCACTCTAACACTCAGCCCTTTTACTCTGGTACTCTTGGCAGAGTACAGTCTCTTCCCAGT